AGATGGATTTGAAAGTAGTGAGAGTATTCATGAATTAATATCTAATGTGCATCATTTCACTTCTCATCGAAAGTTCAACTGAGGCAGCAGTTTCTACACAGCGTGAGGGGGTAACTGCTTCGATACGGGAACGTGTCAGGATCAGATGTTTGCGCTAAAAAGCCTGAAGTGTGGTGCAGCACACATGCCTGTGAGGCGTGAGCTCATGATTTATTTAGGGTGGGTCAAATAAGTAACATTTTTGGAGATGGTGGAGTTTCGCTCACAGAACTCCTCCAGATGAGATACAAACTGCACTTTTTGAACTTGGTGCAGATCCATCTGGTAAACATTAACTACTTGGCTCATTACAAGTTTGGAATTCCACCTTTAAACTGACTGAACTCCAGTTCAGTAAAAATACAAATATATTGTGCACACAGGCATACACACTAAGTGAACGTTAACATGCTCATTACACTGTGAAGGATCTCTCTTACTGCAAACATATCAGACCACCCTTGGCCTTTGCAGTGTTTTCAGTCTGCCAACTACACACACATCAATATGTTCTGTGTGCTTCACAGTGTAATACAGTAATGCCCTTTTGAGAGTTCATTTTAAAATTATTTTATTTGTTTTGAAGTCCTTAAACAGTCTCGCCCTGCCCTATCTCTCTGGGCTGCTGCACTCGGACTCCCCTTCCCGCTTGTTCACTTGAGCTTACCAGCTGCTCCTGGATGTGCCGAGGACACAGAAAAGGCTGTACATCACTAAATCAACTCTTAAGCTCCACCTTTTCTGCTCAGCTTGTGACCCAGGTTGACTTTATTATTCTAATCTTATGGTTTTTACTCAGATTTGCCTTTCTGTTATGCATATTTACTCATGCTTTTAATTTGCTTGTATTTTATTTAATATATATTTAATACTCAAGTTGACTTGATACTTACTGTATGACATGGCCAGCCAACTTTGCTGAAGCCAGCATGTAGTGCATGCAGCACAGAGGTGCAGATTCCCCAAGGACACACAGAGTTCAATTTTTAAGGCACAGGGTTACAGAGTTAAGGTGCACAACAGTTGTTTTTCCCCACACAGGTCAATGTAGCATAAGTGAACTTTAAATAATCTTGAGGAGATTGAGGTAAATAAAGTTAACTGAGAAATGTTAACTCCAGTGTATAACTCAGATTTATGCTCGTTCTTTTTTTCAGAAATCATTTGCACATCTTCTTTTTTGTTTGTTTGTTTGTTTGTTTTTTGCAAGGGGTTCTTCTTCTATTCTTGAACTTAAAAAAAAAGACAGATTATGATTTTATATTAAATGAAGCCACCAAGGAAGATAAAAAGAAGTCCAACTCTGGATTGTAAGGTGGCGAAAGATTTACCCTCAGGCCCCCTCCTCGATTCATAGATGGTCTTTCCCTTTTCACATATCATTATGCAAA